GGGGACCAAGGGGCTGGCATGTCAGCACTGCTCCAAGCATGTACACATGCGGCTGGGATGCCACAGTGCGGAGAGAGACAGTGCCCCAGGTTGTGATCTGTGAGGGGAGCAGGTGCTAATAGTGAGGAGAACCCAGACAGCGGGAGCAGGCACTTCCTAGCCTGCAGGGACAGGGGGGCCTTCCTGGGCCCCCAAGAGTACAGAGATGCCTGGGTCCACAGCTCCAGCTTGGGTGGCTCCAGCTGCGCCCGGGAAGCTCCCACCCCACCAACTTTCTGCCTCCATAAAGCACGCAGCCCTAGCCACGTCTTTTGTCCTCATTTGCCCCTTAGTGGCGGCAGGCAAGGTGCGGACAGCTGGTGGCGTCAGCCAACTCCGCACAAACAAACTCAATGCTGGGGCCGCCCCATGAGTCCTGGCTGCACCATCGGCTCGCGGGCTCCTGAGACTCGGCAGAGAGTGAGGTTGAAGCCGCGGCGGAGGTTCCGGGCCTGCAGCGGGTCCTACCCAGCCATGCAAGGGTCGGGGTGGTGCAGTCAGCTGCCTCAGGGATGTAGGGCACAGGGGACCCACCACTGCTGCTCCCGCAGCCGCTTCTGCCACCACCACTTGTGCCTCCTCGCTGCAGCTGGCATAACAGTGGCTGCTCCAGATGGCACACCGCTGCCATCAGTATCATTTTCCTTATGCCTGAAGGACATGCTTTAACTTTTCTTGTAGTGCAGGTCTGCAGGTAATAAAGTCGTTCAGCTTTTTCGAGTCTGAAAACTTCTTTATTTCTTCATCTGTTATTCTCTTTTTGATGACCGTTAAACCAATCCATTGAACTTTCAATTTCAGTTATGATACTTTTCATTTCTACTTGGTACTTTTTCCAATCTATTTGGTTATTTTCATACTCAAGTTATTTCAGCTCCTTTGTTTCTTTAAGTATAAAACACACTTTGTACTGTCTTTGGTAACTTGACTGTCTTAAGTTTTTGCAGGCCTGCTCCTTCTGCCCATTGCTTCTGCTGGCTCTTGCCGATTTTACATTTGTGATTTTTTATTTTGAACTTATATTCCTTGAAACTATCTCAGAGTTCCTCCAAAGACAATCCATTTTGCAGCCGTCAGTCACCTAGAAGGCACCAAAAAGCTGATATTGCTTTAAATTTGAAGCTTGACGCATTTTAGACCACCCAGCTTGTGTGAACAACCCAGTTAAAGGGTTGGTTTTACATATATATAAAACTCTCAGGGGAGATGTTTTCTCTCAGGATGCACAATGTTCCCCACTGTTCCTAGGGAAGCAGGGGCCAAGGGCAGCATACAGGGGAGGCGGAAAGGTTTATTCATAGTTCACCGTTACACTAAGTCTGTCCTTTTGGATCTCACTTTATGATGTCTCCTCTTAGCCCCTCCCACTCGGGCAGGCCCTCAGCTTTGTCTGCTGTTCTGCTGCCCCTTTCCCACCTCAGGCTGTGAAAAACAGCAAAGTTTAATTTGACATTTGGCAAATATCTTAATGGTGAAAAGTGGCATCGGTGTCTTAGTTATTTCTTTGGGTTTCATCTCCATTTTAAAACTTTTTTGGCTTTTTGGAACTCTTATTTTGTAGCTCATTGACACGTTTTTAAAAGGTCCTTGAAATGTATTCCAGAAGCTTTAGTTGTTTTCAGCTGGTCCTTATCAATCCTACTGTTGGAAATAAAATTCTTTCAACTTGTTCTTTAGCAATGTACAGGCTCCATATATCTCTCCCTGATCCTGAGGCAATAGGGTAAGAACACCACTTAGGAATCAGGCTGGCCTGAGATCAAGTCTCAGATCCACCAACAGTGTGACATCAGTGCCTCAGTTTCTTTTTTTTTTTTTGAGATGGAGTTTGCTCTGTCACCCAGGCTGGAGTGCAGTGGCGCAATCTCGGCTCACTGCAAGCTCCGTCTTCGGGTTCACGCCATTCTCCTGCCTCAGCCTCCTGAGTAGCTGGGACTACGAGCGCCTGCCACCACGCCCAGCTAATTTTTTGTATTTTTAGTAGAGACAGGGTTTCACTGCGTTGGCCACGATGTTCTCTTTCTCCTGACCTCGTGATCCGCCCAACTCGGCCTCCCAAAGTGCTGGGATTACAGGCGAGATCCACTGTGCCTGGCCGCCTCAGTTTCTTTATAGCGTTGGTGATATGGTTTGGTTCTAAGTCTCCAGCCAAATGTCATGTCTAACTGTAATTTCCAGTGTTGGAGGAAGAGCCTGGTGGAAAGTTATTGAATCATAGGGGTGGACATCTCCCTTGCTGTTCTTCTGATAGAGCTCTCATGAGATCTGGTTGTTTAAAACTGTGTAATAACTTCTCCTGCCCTCCTGCTGGCCATGTGAAGATATGCTTCCTTCCCCTTCACCTTCCACCATGATTGTAAGTTTCCTGAGGTCTCCTCAGCCATGCTTCCTGTACAGCTTGTGGAACCATGAGCCAATTAAACCTTTTTTTCTTTATAAATTACCCAGTCTCAAGTAGTTCTTTATAGCAATGTGTGAACAAACTAATACAGGAAATTGGTACCAGAGAAGTAGGGAATTGTTACAAAGATACCTGAAAATGTGGAAGTGACTTTGGAACTGGGTAATAGGCAGAGGTTGGAACAGTTTGGAAGGCTTATAAGAAGAGAGGAAGATGATGGCTGGGCATGATAGCTTATGCCTGTAATCCCAGCACTTTGGGAGGGTGATGCAGGTGGATCATTTGAGGTCAGGGGTTCAAAGCCAGTCAGCCAACATGGTGAAACTCTGTCTCTACTAAAAATACAAGAAAAAAAAATTAGGCAGGCATCATGGTGCACGCCTGTAATCCCGGCTACTCAGGAAGCTGAGGTAGGAGGATAATTTGAATGCAGGAGGCAGAGGCTGCAGTGAGCCAAGATAGTGCCACTGCTCTCCAGCCTGGATAACAGAGTGAGACTCCATCTAAAGACAAAAACCAAAAACAGAAGACAAGAAGAAAAGTTTGGAACTTCCTAGAGACTTGTTGAATTGTTGTGACCGAGATGCTCATACAGTGATATGGACAGTGAAATGCAGGCTGAGGTGGTCTCAGATGGAGATGAGGAACTTATTGGGAACTGTAGCAAAGGTCACTCTTGCTGTGTCTTAGCAAGGAGACTGGTGGCATTGTGCTCCTACTCTAGGAATCTGTGAAATGAGTCTTTAGAACTATATTTAGTTAACCATCGGCTAATTTCCAGATAAATAGTTCTGCAGAGGTCATATAAGGTACAAATAGCAGTAGATCAAGGGGGAGGATGATCTTGGGGACTCCTGAAATACACTGTAAATAACCCAGATATCCCCCAATGAATAAATGGATATACAAAGTGTGGTATACATACATATGTACAAACAATGGAACATTATTCAATCATAAACAGGAATGAAGTACTGATACAGGCTACACAATGAATGAACCTCAAAAAACCTTAGAATCCTGCTAAGTGAAAGAAGCCAGTCACAAAAGACCAGATATTGGATGACACATTTATATAAAATGTCCAGAATAGGCAAATCTAGAGACAGAAAGCAGATTAGTGGTTGTCAGGGGTTGAGGGAAGGAGGAAATGAGGAGGGATTAAATGAATTAATGCATGTTAACACCTTAAACTTTGGGCAACTGCCCAATCACACAGTGCAGTCTCATTCATGGGTTACATGAAAAAACAAAGAGAAAAGCCGAGGCAGAAATACCAACATGTATGTTATTAAAAACATAAAACCTAAGTATATAGACAGACTACGTTCCTTAATGAGCAGATTCAATATTATAAGGTTGCCAATTCCCCTCCCACAATCTCTCAAAAGTTGCAAAGTAATGCAATGTAATGCAATTTTAATCCAAATGGCATGCTTATCTAGACAAGAAAAAATTGATTGTAAAATTTATATGAAATAATAAAGGTGTGAGAATTGCAGGGAAAATTTTCAAATGGAAGATTATTAAGGAAGAAAAGAGTGTGAAGACCCTGCTCTATATGGTAGAAGTCAAAGACAGCTACCATCAATTCTTTCCCTTCCTCAACACACATTGCTTCTCAAGAGGTGAGGAATAACTCCCCTCCCCTTGAATCTGGTTGCCTTGTGACTTGCTCGATCCACAGAATATGACATAAATTCCATTCTGGGAATTCTAGGATTGGGTTTATTTTTTGTTGTTTTTTGTTTTTTTTTAAGACACAGTCTCGCTCTGTCACCAGGCTAGAGTGCAGTGGTGCAATTTCAGCTGACTGCAACCTCTGCCTCCCAGGTTCAAGAGATTCTCCTGTCTCAGCCTCCCGAGTAGTTGAGACTACAAGTGCATGCCACCACACCCAACTTATTTTTGTATTTATTTATTTTTTATTAGAGACGGGTTTCACTATGTTGGCCAGGATGGTCTCGATCTCATGACCTGGTGATCTGCCCACCTCGGCCTCCCAAAGTGCTGGGATTACAGGCATGAGTCATCGCGCCCAGCCCGATTTTATTTTATTTTTTAAAGAAACTGAAGCTTCTACTTCGATCTCTTGGAAGCCTTGCTCCTGGGAAGCTCTTCCTTGAACCTAGTTGCCATTCCATTCCACCAGGCCACATATGTCTTCTCCAGGCAACAGTCTACATGAATTGCCAGTCATGTAAGTGAGTTCAGATGACTGTGGCCCCAGCTAACATTTGACTGTAATACATGTGAGAGGCCCCATGCAGAACCACCTAGAACCATGGAGATCAACCACCCTGCAGAAGCATGAAGTTAAGCTTAGGGGTGGTTAATTACACAAAAATAAGTAAACAGAGCACTCCACCAGGTATTAAACATTATTACAAATATTATGTAATTAAAACAATACAGAACAGACCAGGGTTGACTACAAGATCAATGGGACAGAATAAAGTTACACAACAAATGCCCCCTGGTGACCACAGGGATTTGTCACAGATCTCATCACTTAGAAACCCTACAGCGGTTTCCCTGGTCACCTTCCAGTCACCTCTACACCTTGGCTCCTTTTAGCACTCCTCCCTGGCTTATCACTATATGGAATTACTTTATCTCTTTGTATTGTCTGTCACCTGCCACCATAATGTGAATTTCTAGACCTCCATAGCATCCAAAGCCCTAGAACAGTTCTTAGAACACAGAAGGTGCTTGACAAATATTTTCTGAAAGAAAAAGAAGATACTTCAATACCTCAGTTTATTAATGAAGTGGGGCTACCATATGGCTGCCTGAACAAATACAGCTTGACACTCACTTTCTTGCTAATGACTGAAGTGTATTAACTTGTGTAATCACACAACTACCCTATGGGGTAGGTGCCCTTATTTCTCCATTTAGCAGATGAGGAAACTGAAGCACAGAGGGGCCAAGTATCTTGACCAAGGTCACACAGCTTTTAAGTGCCAGAGCCAGGACTCAGATCCTCACAGGTCTGGCTCCAGAGCCCCCAATTTAACCTCCTAACCTCTCTGCTTTACTGGGCTAAACCTTCACCACCTGGAACTCTCCAGGTGCTCGTAAGCGAGTGCTACCCAACTCCCATCACGAACTCGGAAGACCTGTCATTTTCTGAAATTTTCACAACTTCTAAGACACTAGTTATTGGGGAAAACTTCAAATTATTTAAATAATGAGAGGCGAATAACATTGCTAAACTCATGAACACTCTGTATTTAAAAACTCCACTGGAGATCAGGGCACACAGAATCTCTACTACTGATCCCTGACGCTGACCTTCCCCCAACCCGTCGGCCCACGGACCCCAGCCCTGACCCCACCTCCTCCCAGCATCTGACACAAGGATTCTCACCACACTCCCCAGAGACTCGCCTGCCCAGGGCCCCTCTCTAACCCCACATAGCTCAGGTCTCTGACCCAGAGACAGCATTACCGACCTCTCCTACTATCTATTTCCAGATTAGAGTTCCTGATCCCAGAGGTATTGTCTACAATAACTAGCTCTTACAACTATGTCCACTTCAGGAACCGCCCTGTGACGTCAGAACTTTGAGGCCGCCCGGCCAGGGCTGCACATGCTCAGTGAGGCCGGCGCCCGCCAGTAAAAAACATGGCTCCCTAAAGCCGCTCGGGCTCAAGAGCAACATGGAGGCCTGCACTTCATCGCTCCTCTCTGGGGGCGGCCATACTGAGGAGGCATCTCTTCCGTGCAGGCAGGCTGTCCTGGGCACCTCAGAGATTCTCTCCAGCGGCAGCGGAAAATGGGCAACGGGTGGATTCGGGTCCAGATTCCGGCAGGAGGGAGTTTGGGATCGAGATCTGGAAAAAAGCATTAGACTGGAAGAGGACGCCATGGAGTCGGAGCCGCTGGCGGGGACAAAAACCTGGGGCTGGGGAAGGCGCCGGTGGGAGGCAAGGCGCCGAGGGACTTTACCCGCGGACGCGTCGCAGCCGTCTCCGCGCACCGTGGTGGCCATCGCGGCTGGTGCCCCAGTGTCGGCGTGTGCCGGGGGCTCCACTGGGACCCCGGTCGCTCGCCCTGAGTCTCCCCTTCCTCATCTGTACGCTTGGGACAAGAACAGTAACCCTCGCAAGTCAAGACAGGCCGGGCCTGTCGGGAGGGTCCACGCCTTAGAGCAGGCCCCTATCGTGTTCAGGGCCCTGAGATGGGGTCTGACTCAGTTCCTGCGGGGAAATTCACCAGTGACCCAGTGAGTGCCCTTCAGTTAAAGACCACCAGGAGCACACTTGTGGAAAATATAATTACATTGCAGCAAGGAATGGGGTACTATGGGTCATCTCAGTGGAAGGAGTTAGAGAGAAACTATTAAACGAGTCGGGGTTTAATTGGTTGATTTTCGACAGGGTCTCAGAAAGTGAAGATTTTAGATTGGATGCTGTCAGAAGTGGCATCAAGACTTTGTTTTTTATCTGCATTTAGACAACATTATAAAGTGCCCTTGTTTTTGTTTGCACTTACCACGGTCTCCGATTAACCTTCTGAAGTTGACATTATTCTGTGAGATTGTTTATATCCAACAGGAAAACAAAATGGCCTGGCCATGAGCATCAGACCGGCGTGTAATAACATTAAGGCCTAACTGTGACCCAAATATTGACAGAATTGAAATTAAAAATAGTTCTACAGTAATAGAGTCTTCAATACTCCATTTAAAATAATGCATAGAAGCTGGACATGGTGGCTCATGCCTTTAATCTCAGCCACCTGGGAGGCTGCAGCAGGTGGATTGCTTAAAGCCAGGAGTTCGAGACTAGCCTGGGCCTTTTGGCCTGTTTCGGCTTTTAACGTGCCTTCCTCACTCAGCTTAATCATTTCTCACTTTTGATTTTTAATAAGAGATATGTGGCTCTTACTTTCACTTGAACACATAGAGGCCTTTGTAGAGTTATTAATTGGCATAATTTCAATATTGCTGTGTCTCAGAAAACAGGGAGACCTGAGGAGAGGGGGAGATGGAGGAAGGGCAGATTGATAGAACCATTTGAACACACATATGTATCAATTAAGCTCATTATCTTTTGGGGAGCATGGTTTGTGATGCCCCAAAACAATGACAATAGTAATATCAATGATCACTGATCACAGATCACCATAACAGATATAATAATAACAAAGCATTTCAAATATTGCAAGAATTACAAAAATGTAACACAGAGATACAAAATAAGCACATGCTACCAGAAAAGTGGCACTGGTAGACTTACTTGATGCAGGGTTGTCACAAACCTTCAATTTGTAAAAAATGCAATATCTGAGAAGCATAGTAAAGTGAAGTGCAATAAAACAAGATAAGCTTATATATGTATGCATGCACACACCAGTACACATCCACCTATCCACACACAAATCTTTGTACAAACAAATCCTGTATTTTCAAATCCAAGAATACATCATTTGCACCTTAAAAACATCTGTCATCCTTGTAGTGTCCTTTTCTGTCTTTGTTATCAGGGTAATGCTGGCCTCATAAAAAATGTTTGGAAATGTTCCCTCCTCTTCAACTTTTGGAAGAGTTTGTTAATCAATGGGATTAATTCTTCTTTAAACATTTGCTAGAATTCTCCAGTAAGCTATCTGGTCTTGGATTTTCCTTTTTCAGGAGTTTTTTGACTACTGACTCATATTTTTACTCATTATTTATCTGTTTTGATTTTCTGTTTCTTCATGTTTCAGTCTTAGTGGATGTATGTTTCTAGAAATTATATTCTAAGTTAAACAATTAGTTGACACATAGTTGTTTAGAGTAGACTATTAATGTCCTTTGTATTTCTATGGTACCAATTTTAATATTTCCTTTTTTGTTCTAATTTTATTTATTTGAGATTTCTCTCTTTTTTCTTAGCTTAGTGAAAGGTTGGTCAATTTTTATTATCTTTTCAAAAAATCAACTTTTCATTTCATTGATCTTTTCTGTTGTTTTTCTGCTCTATTTCATTTATTTCTGCTATGGTCTTTGTTAGTTCCTTCTTCTAATTTTGGGCTTGATTTTTTTTCTTTGACGTTTATTGTTTCTTTGAGATCTTTTTTCTTCATTTAGTACTTATCTGTATAAACTTCCCTCTTAGAGCGGCTTTTGCTTCATCTCATAAGTTCTAGAATGTTGTGCTTTCATTTTAGTTTGTCTCAAGATATTTTATTTCTTTTTTGATGTTTTCTTTGATCTGTTGGTTGTTCAGGAGTGTGTTGGTTGATTTCCACATATTTGTCACTTTTCTAAGTTTTCTCCTGTTTTTAATTTTCAGTTTCATGCCACTGTGGTCAAAAAGAATACTTGGTAAGATTTCAATCTTCTTAAACTTGCTAAGACTTGTTTTCTGGCCTAATATATGACATATGTTGGAGAATGTACTGTGTATGCTCGAGAAGAATGTGTGTTTTGCTGTTTTGGAAAGGAATGTCCTGTATATCCGGTCCATTTGATCTATAGTGTAGTTCAAGTCAGCTGTTTCCTTATTGATTATCTGTCTGAATGATCAATCCATTGTTGGCAGTGGGATATGGAAGTCCCCTACTGTTATTGTATTATTGTTGTCTACTTCTCTCTTCAGATTTGTTAATATTTGCTTTATATAATTAGGTACTCCAATGTTGGGAGAATATGTATTTGCAGTAGTTATATCCTCTTGATGAATTGACCCTTGTATCATTCTATAATGACTTTGTCTCTTGTTACAGTTTTTGACTTAAAGTCTATTTTGTTTGTTGTAAGAATAACTACTCTTTCTTTTTTGTTGTTCCCTCTCTTTCCTTTCAGTCTATGTGTGTCTCTGAAGGTGAAGAGAGTCTCTTATAGGTGGCATATATTTGGTTCTTGTTTTACTCTCCATTCAGCCACTCTGGGTCTTCTGTTTCACTAATTTGGTCCACTGATATTTGAAGTAACTATTGATAGGTGTTTTGTAGTTTCTTTGTTCTTTTATTTCTCTCTGGCTGTGCATGATTTGATTATTTTGATTATTTTCTGTAGTGGTATACTTTGATTTTTTGCTGTGTCTTTGTAGTAATTCTTTTTTAAACATGTGGTTAAATTCTCATTTGTGTATCTATTACATGTTTCGTCTTTGTGATTATCATGAGGCTTACATAAAACATCATATGCTATCATGTGCCATATAAGGATGTTTTGGTCAATGATGGGCCACATATACAATGGTGGTCCCATAAGGTTATAACATTTTTGTTTTATCTGTTTAGATACATTTAAATACACAAATGCTTATCATTGTATTACAGTTGCCTACAGCATTCAGTATAGTACAATGCTGTACAGATTTGTAGCCTGGAAGCAATAGGTTATACCATATAGCCTGGGTGTGTAGTAGGTGGTATTATCTAATTTTGTGTAAGTACACTCTATGATATTCACACCATGACAAAATTGCATAATGAGGCATTATTCAGAACATATCCAAATTAAGAAATGCATGATTGTAGTTACAATGGTCTATTTTAAGTTGATAACAACTTAACTTCAATAATACACAAAAACCCTACACTTTACTCTCCTCCACTTTGTATGTTTTTTTATGTCAGAGTTTATTTCTTTGTATATTTTGTAGTTATATTTATTTGTAATATTAACCTTTTAAAAGTTAAAGTGATTATACTGCATCATTGCAGTATTAGGAGTATTTTGAATTTGACTGTATAGTTACTTTGACCAGTGAATTTTATAACCACATATGGTTTCATGATACTAATTAGTCTTATTGCATTTCAGTTTGAAGAACTCCCTTTAGGATTTCTTATAAAGCAGATCTAGTGACAGTGGACTCCCTTAGATTATTCTGGGGGGCTTCTGAAAAAGTCTGTAAATCCTAGCCAGAGCAATTAGGTAAGAAAAAGAAATAAAAGGCATCCAACTTGGAAAAGAAGTGAAAATGTCTCTGTTTGAGGATGACATGATCTTATATAGAGAAAATTCTAAAGGCTCCAATTAAAAACTGTTAAAATTAAGAAACAAAATTCAGCAAATTTGCAGAACACATTAAAAAACCTGTTGCATTGCTATATACTAACAGTGAATTATCCCAGAAAGAAATTAAGAAAACAATCTCAGGCCTGGCACAGTGGCTCACGCCTGTAATCCCAGCACTTTGGGAGGCCGATGCAGGAGGATCACTAGGTTAGGATATCAAGACCAACCTGGCTAACACGGTGAAACCCCGTCACTACTAAAAATAGAAAAAATTAGCCGGGCATGCTGGCAGGCACCTGTAGTTCCAGCTACTCAGGAGGCTGAGGCAGGAGAATGGTGTGAACCCAGGAGGTGGAGCTTGCAGTGAGCCAAGATTGCGCCACTGCACTCCAGTCTGGGCAACAGAGCGAGACTCTATCTCAAAGAAAACAATCTCATTAACAATAGCATCAAAAAATTAACTACTTAGGAATACATTTAAATAAGAAAGTAAAATTTCTATATACCAAAAACTACAAAACACTGATAAAAGAATTTGAAGAAGACACATATCTCTATTACTCACTGTGATCTAAAGATATAATGCAACCCCCATCAAAATTTCAATGGCATTTTTCAAAGAAATGCAAAAAAGCAATTCTAAAATTTGTATGCAACAGACCCCAGTCAAAACATCCTTGAGCAAAAAATCAAAAGTGGAAGCATCACATTACCTTATTCCAAACTAAATTATAAAGCTATAGTAATCAAAATAGTATGGTACTGGCATAAAAACAGACATGTAGACCAAGGGAACAGAATAGAGAGCACAGAAATAAATCCATGCAAAATGCATGGATTTATTTCTGTGCTGTGGCCTTCTTCTCACAGCTCCAGTAGGCAGTACCCCAGTGGGGACTCTGTGTGGGGGCTTCAACCCCACATTTCCCTTCTGCACTGTCCTAGCAGAGGTTTTCCATGAGGGCCCCATCCCTGCAGCAAAATTCTGCCTGGACATCTAGGTGTTTCCCTACATCCTCTGAAATCTAGGCAGAGGTTCTCAAACCTCAGTTCTTTACTTCTGTGCACCCATAGGCTCAACACCATGTGAAACTGCCAAGGTTTGGGATTTTCACCCTCTGAAGCCACAGTCCAAGATGTACCTTGGCCCCTTTTAGCCATGGCTAGAGTGGCTGGGATGCAAGACATCAAGTCCCTAGGTGGCACAGAGCAGGGGGCCCATGAATCCAGCCCAGGAAACCATTTTTCCTTTTAGGCCTCCTGGCCTGTGATGGAGGGGGCTGCCACAAAGGTCTCTGACAGGTCCTGGAGATATTTTCCCTATTGTCTTGGGGATGAACATTTTAGCTCCTTGTTACTTATGCAAATTTCTGCAGCTGGCTTGAATTTCTCCTCAGAAAATTGGTTTTTATTTTCTATCACATTGCCTGGCTGCAAATTTTCCAAAGTTTTATGCTGTTTCCTTTTAAAACTGAATGCTTTTAACAGCACCCAAGTCACCTCTTGAATGCTTTGCTGCTTAGAAATTTATTCTGCCAGCTACCCTAAATCATCGCCCTCAAGTTCAAAGTTCCACAAATCTCTAGGGCAGGGGCAAAATGCCACCAGTCTCTTTGCTAAAACATAGCAAGATTTACCTTTACTCCAATTCCCAACAAGTTCCTCATCTCCATCTCAGACAACCTCAGCCTGAATTTCATTGTCCATATCATCATTAGCATTTTGGTCAAAGCTACTCAACAAGTCTCTAGGGAATTCCAAACTTTCTCATGTTTTTCTGTCTTTTTGTGAACCCTGCAAACTGTGCCAACCTCTGCCTGTTACCCAGTTCCAAAGTTGGTTCCACATTTTTGGATATCTTTATAGCAGCACCTCACTCTACCAGTACCAATTTACTGTATTCATCTGTTTTCATACTGCTGATAAAGACATACCAAAGACTGTGTGATTTATAAAGAAAAAGAGGTTTAATGGACTCACAGCTCGTCATGGCTGGGGAGGCCTCACTCATGGTGGGAAGTCAAAGGCACATATTACACAGCAGCAGGCAAGACAGAATAAAAACCAAGTGAAAAAGGAAATCCTTTATAAAACAATCAGATCTTGTGAGGCTTATTTACTACCACAAGAACAGTGTGGGGAAAACTGCTCCCATGATTCAACTGTCTCTTACTGGGTCCCTCCCATAACATGTGGAATTATGGGAGCTACAATTCAAGATGAGATTTGGGTGGGGACACAGCCAAACCATATCAGACCTGGAGAGATACATTTCTAAAAGACATACGATTGACAATAGGTATATACAAGAAAAAGATGTTTGCCATCACTAATCATCAAGAAAATGCACAATGAGATATCATCTCACATCTATTAGGATGGCTATTATAACAGTAAAAGGGTAACAAATGTTGCTGAGGATGTTGAGGAAAAGAAACTTTTGTGCTTAGTTGATAGTTGATGGGAATGTAAATTGGTACAGCCATTCTGTAATGGCTAGACAACAGTATGGAGTTTCCTCAAAAAATTAAAAATGGGACTCCTATATAATCCAGCAATCCCATATCTAGGTATATATCCAAAGTAAAGAAAATCACTATCTCTAAGAGATATATGTACTTACATGTTCATTGCAGTGTTATGTACACAGCTAAGATATGGAAACTACCTGTGTCCCTTGACAGATGAATGGATGTTTTAAATGTATTACACACACACACACACACACACACAGAGACACACACACATATGTAATGGAATATCATTTAGCCTTTAAAAATGAGGAAATGCTGCCATTTGTGACAACATGGATAAACCTGGAGTTTATTATGGTAAGTAAAATAAGCCATGAACACACACATACAAAACTCCTGCATGATTTCACTTACATGCTTACTAAAAAAATGCCAAACTCATGGTAACAGAGTAAAACAGTGCTTACCAGGGCCTGGAAGTTGGGGGAAAAGAAAAAATGTTTGTCAGAAGATATAAACTTTCAGTTATAAGATGAATAAGTTCTGGAGATCTAATGTACAGCATAGTGACTAAAGTGAATAATAATGTATATGTGAAATTTGCTGAAAGAGTAGATCTCAAGTGTTCTCCACCAAACAAACACAAGTAAAAAGGTAACCAAGTGAGGTGATGACTATGTTAGCTTGATTGTGGTCATCATCACTTCACAGTGTACATGTATATCAAAATATCACACCTTAACTATATACAATTTTTCTTTGTTAATCAATAAAACTGGCAAGAATATCTTTTATATGTTACCTTGACTCCATTTCTTCTTATTTTGTCAAAATAGATAGTCCTCACTGTTTGCATAAGTTTAGAAATTTGTGCTACATCCCGAAGCCAGTAGTGGGGTAGGATGAACTAAGTTACTGATTCTTTAGGAACCTTAGGGTGTGAGGTGGGACTGGAGTTCAAGGCCTAGGAGCTGAGTCTGGTCTTGAGCAGCCTCTTTTTTGTTTGTTTGTTTTATTTTGTTTTGAGATGAGGTCTCACTTTGTTGCCCAGGCTGCAGTGCAGTGGCACGATCTGGACTCACTGCAACCTCTGCCTCCCAGGCTCAAGCAATCCTCCTATCTCAGCCTCCCAAGTAAGTGGAACCAAGGGCATGTGCCACTATGCCTAGCTAATTTTTTCGTATCTTTGTTATAGATGGAGTTTTGCCTTCCTGCCCAGGCTGGTCCTGAACTCCTGAGCTCAGGCGGTCCACCCACCTCGGCCTCCCATAATGCTAGGGTTACAGGTATGAGCCACCACGCCTGGCCATGAGCAGCCTCTTCTGATATCCCTAGTGTGCTCTGTACACATTTTCTTTATCTGAATGTGCCTTTCCTTTCTCCTCCATTCCACTCCAGAACCGTGGATACTCAAGTCTATCCTGAACCATGTAGAGGGGGAGCTTTGAGTGCTATATGAAATTCACTTATGATATCATTCTACATTCCTTCACAGAAGTAACTCAGGGTTCACTTAGGGATTCACATGGTAAATTTGTCTTAATGCTCCAAGTGGGCTTAAAGGAACTTTCTTCTTGTCGGTCATAATGTTTGTGTACAACTGTAATGGGAATTTGAGTTTGTATCACTAGCGTCATGAGCGTGCATGTTTGTGAGCACACCTGTGCATCTGCTATTTCTTCTATTGGTCTACAGACTTTTCCTTCTTTAGGATATTATCAACTTGAATTCAAATTTTTATCAAAAATTGGACCTAGCTCTTTTTATTCATATTTTCCTGCTACATTTTTTCCACTAATTTATTTTCAATAGGTTATATTGTGTGTTTTTTGACACTTAAAAATTTTACCTGACAATCTTAAACTTTCATTTATGTAATTATTGTTCCATTATGACTTATTTCTGTCATCTCATTTTATAATTTTTCATACTTTCTTTACTGTTTCTTTTTTCCTATTTGTACCTCTCACTCTATAGATCAAATCTTTTTCCATTTGTTTGAAATCTGGAAATTTTTGACATTGTAATGGTGGTTATATCATTATTTATGTTAATTTTCTCAATTTCCTACATGTTTCAAAATTAATATCATCTCAGCAAACCAAGTAAGTACTCTAGCCTCCTCTTGCCACCTCTGGTTTTGCTTTCTCCATTACGACAGCCCTTTGTTGAAGGGGGTGCTTTCTGAAATTTACTCAGGGTTGTCTTCAATATGTTATGTTTTCATGTATTTTTTAGGGTATGATAAACACCACTACCATTGATTCTTGAACCCTCAATTCTAACACCACGGTGTATTCCTCTTCTTACTGGAGTATGTCCTCTAGGCATTTTCTAAGGGATTTGTTTGAAATAAAACTTTTGAGGCCTTATTTTATAATGTCTTTTTCTGTGCTTTCATATTTAAAAGATTTTGGCTGCAAACAATTCAAGGATTAAAATTTGTTTCCTTTTAATCCTTGAAAAATATTACTCCATTTTATTCTTGTCTCCAGCATTGCTGTTGGAAAGGCTGATGCCAATCAAAACCAATTTTTCCCTAGAGGATGATCTGTCATCTCATCATTTTGACAGGATGTTACAAAACAAAGGAGTCTTCAATGTTCTGAGTATAAATCATTTTGCAATTATAAACTTAAGTTAAATATTAATGCAATATAAAAAGAATTAAAACCTTCTTGAGACATGCAAGTGAACAGGAAAATTAACTATCTTGCATTCATTCAGGAAGAAAAGGTGCAAAAGAAATTTAATAAAAGAGATGGTCATTAGATGCAAGTGTGGTTGACTGTAGGGATGCAATGCTGACAAGTGGCAGCAGGCCTGGCAAGCTGTCCATCCCAATTCAATTCCTTCATAAAGAGAAGAAGAATAATTAGGCTACCTTGATGATGTGCTGGAAAAAGGTGCTATGTTTCCTTTTTAATCATTCAAAACAAAGATAAGTAAAATTCCTGGGAAATAAGAAATAATGCATCATAAATGTATGCAAATTGAAGAAAATACTATATTTTTATGAATTTAAAATGTCAGCTATTGTAGATTGTTATCTCTTTTCAGAAGTGCTTTAAAATTGATGGCACATAGTAAAAAATGGCATAATTTCAAACAATTAATGGAAAAACATTAATCCGTCTTCTTGAATCTTGGAAACAGGATTCTTTTGGGAGGCTTCGGTGTATCTGTGTTATCATTTCATTGCCTTCACAAAATCAAATTACGCCACCTGTGACTGTGGTTTGAAAAAAAAAAAGAAAACCTAATAATGATGCTGTCAATTCACTTGAGATTCCATGATCAAAATTAACCTATGAACAAAGCACAGACTTTATTATAATTACAAAATAGAATGTAATTTACATAAAATGTGAAAATTCAAGCATAGAACCATATTTGATACAAGTCTAAAGCTATGACAGGGACTGTTGGAGGGGAGGGAAATTGTATACTAATCTCCACATCCTACTGAGCCAATCAGTGGTGTTCAAATTGGATGGACCATATATTTAAACAGTATATTATTTAAGCAAAGAATTAAGCACTGTAAGTATATTATTTAGAGGAAGCAGCTTTTTAAAAATCCCTTAAAATTATAGATTAAAGACTAAATTGGAAATACAGTTTTAGAAGAAGAAAGTGGGGTAAATGGGCCGGGTGCGGTAGCTCACGCCTGTAATCCCAGCACTTTGGGAGGCCAAGGTGGGCGGATCACGAGGTCAGGAAATCGAGACCATCCTGGCTAATATGGTGAAATTCCATCTCTATTAAAAATACAAAAAGTTAGCAGGGCATGGTGGTGGGTGCCACTGGGGAGGCTGAGGCAGGAGAATGGTGTGAACCCAGGAGGCGGAGCTTGCAGTGAGCCAAGATCGTTCCTCTCCCGCCTGGGCGACAGAGCAAGACTCCATCTCAAAAAAAAAAAAAAGAAAAAGAAAACAAAAGAAACTAGGGTATATGAGCTATATTCTCTATCATTCATAAAAAGTCAAAGGATATTACTTAAAATTGATAAAACAAATTAGGTGATTATATAATATTATTTACAGTTCAAGAGAATAGCATATAGTAAAAAAAAAAAAAAAAAAGTATGATAAACCTTGCCTAATTCTGCAAAAGAGGACCAAGGTCTGTGGAAGGGAAAAAAAATTCCTGGTTTCCACTGATTTTTTGCCCATCAAACTGTTTGAATGATTTTTCATGCACATGTGTTGCTTTAATTTAAAAAGTTCTTATTCATGGATGCCCTTGAATTACATGTAAAATTAGGTTTCCTTTAGTCAATGGTGTATGAAAAGTAATCAACTCATCTAATTGAACTTAGAGATTAATAAATTATAATTTGGGGGAGAACACAAATATACCCATTAAAAACAACCAGAACATAACAGTTGGCTCTATATTCTGCTTATCTAGGAAGTGGAATTCTTAAAATTAAAAAAATAATAAGGAGTTTCACATTTTCTAAGAAACAGTAGGAATAAAAATGCAAGTGCTTCTCTTGGATAAAGCTCTTATAATCACTAGTAGACTAAAGTCAATCTAGATTAAAATTTATATTTTTAAATTTATAATATGACCAATATTGCCATCAAAATATTCAGGCACAGAATGTTTTAAAGTAGTGATTTTATTGTTTCTCAACATCCTCTTTCCTTCTATGATTGGCATCACAAATCATGGTTAGGGCATCTTATCAAAGAATTATACTTGTAGTTTTTGAGTGAAAAGAAAGGGAGAAATGTTATTCACGCCTTTACCTTATTAATAATGTGTAACTTGTGATGGCCACTATCAATAGAACTATCATCAGATTTGAAGAGCACTGTTTGTCTCCTTTAATATGGAGAAATACCACAAATAAGTGGGAAATAATTTAATGACTGCAGCCCTTCATTTTTAATCATATAGCTGAGTGATATTTTAAGTCTTATGAGAACAAACATTTGAACAAAAATAGCCAATTCTCTGTTTCATAATTTCATACATTTGTGTTAAAAGGTTTAGACAATAAAGTTAATTTGAAATGCATTACAAATAACTGAGTAATTAGCAATCATTAAGTTTTTTTAAATAACTGTTTAGATAACTTAGTAATTAGGAATCATTAAGTTCATTTTTAAACAACTGTTTAGTCCACAAAGGGTAAGAAATATATTTTAGAGAGAGGGTGTTCCGAAATCTGTCTCAGAAACATTCAATCTCAAATATCTTTCAATGAAGCAGAAAAGTAAATATATGTTTAGATAATTTAGGTTAAAAAAGGTAAATTTTTGTTGCCTGCTTAACTTTTATGAAACAGATATTTTCATTCAAGTCCAGCGTATATTTTGCTATGACTTCCACATCCTTTCCTCAGAGACTATTTACCTAAACATTAGGGTACCAAAGGAACTAGGAAACAAAAACCTATTAGAGAGAGAAATTTTAAGTGAGGCGCACATTCTGATGATATTAATTTGTTTTTGACATTCTATTAATATTCTGGGAACACTAAGAAAATAAAATCCAAAGGGGCAAGCAGGTGTCATTGTCTCAGTGTGGGCCCTCTTTTGTCATCCTCTGTAAGGTTGCAGTCATCAAAGACCGTGACCCAAGAAGAAAGTGAAACGGGAACAAATGAGCATTTCCCGAAATACAAACAGTACAGTCCTTGAGAAAGAATCCTTCAAGGCCTTAGATTTCTTTAAACATTTTTAGATAAATAGCCTGGGCTATGCACAACAAAATGAAATGGTGATAATGAACAGGATAGCGAAGTTTTGTGCTAACTCTCATAAATGACAAGAGTTGATTAACGCTTAGGATAGTGTGAAAGAAGAATTGAATGAAAAATGCAAATTGAAAGAAAAAATATCCAGACAGACCCTTTCCTAAAACATGCATCATAAAATATTTAAAAGCATCTGCTTTAATGCATGGGCTGGGTCAAAGTAAGGACAATTTTCAGATATCTAGAAGCGCAAAAAAGTTTGAATCCAGAGCTGTGAGCGCCTCATTTGGCATTTGCCCTGGGGTGTCTCCCAGTAACTGTTGGCCCAGACCCATGAGCACCTAATTCAGGAGACAGAGGCTGATGCCCATGTAGAGAGGAATATAAGCTAAAATGCCTTCTACATAAATCTAGGATTTCTAAAGAGAAGCATGCTAAGTGCCTGGGCTAGGAAAATCCCACCCCATAAGAAGATAGTGAAAATATATGCTTGTCTTGGTCCCAATAGGGTAAACAAAAAAATGAAAAATTAAAAAGTATGGTAATTTCTAAATACAAGACAATAGCCATACTGGTTCGGGTTTGAATTCACACTATCTACGGGCCTGACAAATACCAGGGTGGAAACTAGCCTCTGGTAGCGACAGGTGAGGCCAGCTAGACTTCCTGGGTGGAGCGCTGACTTGGGGAACTTTCCTGTCTTACAAGAGGATTGTAAAACACACCAATCAGGAACTTTCCTATCTTACAAGAGGTTTGCAAAATGCACCAATAAGCAGGATTCTAAAAGTAGCCAATCACATGGAGGGTTGAATAAAGGGCAGTCTGGTAGGACAGAAACAAAACATGGGAGGGGACAAATAAGGGGGTAAAAGCTGTCCTCCTGCCCCCCAACCCCTGCCAACCCAGCAGCAGCAACCTGCTTGGGTGCCCTTCCAGGTTGTGGAAGCTTTGTTCTTTAGCTCTTCCCAATAAACCTTGCTGTTGCTCACTCTTTGGGTCCATGCCATCTTTCATAGCTGCAACACTCACCGTGAAGGTCCGCTTGCTACTGCTCACTCTTTGGATCCGTGCCATCTTCAAGAGCTGTAATACAGTGAAGGTCCACGGCTTCATTCTTCAAGTCAGTGAGACCACGAACCCACTAGAAGGAACCGACTGTGGCACAGTAGACCTGGAAGCTAATTAATCTGAGTACAGTCATAAAGATAAATATATTTTTCACACATACTTGTAAACATATTTTGTAACACAGCTTTTACTGTAGTTAAGTGAAGATAGTAAATTTTACAATAAGCATCGCTGGGACGCTGATTTCCATAAGGGAAAAAAATGAAATTGAAACTTAATCCTAGAGACCAAACATAGAAATATATTTTAATGGGTAAAGACAGCTTCTCAACATTTTTAGAAAAAACTGGGGAGCATCTCCTTTATGTTGAAATAGGGAAGAAGAACAAACTGCAAGAGGAAAAATTAACTTGATCACATAAAGATTTAAGACTTCTATTTATTGAAGGATACTGCAATGTGAAAAAAAACGCAAAACTTGGCAGAGATATTTCCAACACATCTTACCTAGAAGGGTTTGGTATCCAGAATATATAAACGCCCCCTATAAATAAGTGAAAAATAACACCTCTATTAAGAAGTTAGCACAAATAGCCCATAAGCATGTGAAAAAGTGAGCAACCTCATAATAACCATGAAAATGAAAATTAATAATTAGATGCCCTTTCACACATATTGACAGTGGGTTTTTTTGTTTGTTTTTTTGGTTTTTTGTTTTTTTGTTTTTTTTTTTTTTTTTGAAGTTCTGAAACGTGTCGTATTGGCAAGGATAAAGAACCATGGAAGTATTCATCCCATGCAAGTAGAAGGACAGCCATTTGGAAAACAGATATTAGCTCATACCTATGACCCAATGGCTTCACTACAACCTAGTACAACCTAGTCAGCCTGATACATGCCCCAGAAAATTTCTTGCGTTTGTTTACCTAGAGACATATCCGAATGTTCACAATTTTAAAAACCTGGAAACAATGCAATTATCCCTCAATACGGGTAGATAGTGGACTGGGTAACTAAATGATCATATATTCCAATAATAGAGTATCTCACAGCACTAAGAGTGAATGAACTGCAGCTATTCACATTCTCAAATATAGCACTGCAATGAGATGCCACTGCACGCATATTAGAATGGCAGAAATCCAGATCCCTGACAACACCAAATGCTGGTAAGGATGTGAAGCAACAGGAACTCTCATTCAGTGCTGATGGAAATACAAAATGGAGAATGGTTCTGTGACTTCTTGGAAAACTAAATCTACTCTTATTATATGACCCAGCAATCTTGTTTCTTGGTATATACCCAAAGGAGTTGAAAACTTATGTCCACACAGAAACCTGCACACAGATGTTTATGGAAGCTTTATTTATAATTGCAAAAACTTGGAGACAAGCAAGATTTACTTCAGTAGGTGAATGAATAAACAAATTGTATTACATCCAGACAATTGAATACCATTCAATGATTTAAAAAAAAAAAAAAAAAAAAAAGCTGTCAAGCCACGAAAAGACACAGAGGAAGCTTACATGCGTATTGCAGAGTGAAAGAAGCCAATATAAAAAGGCAACATACTATCACTTCCAACTATATGACCTTCTGGAAAAGGTAAAAAACTATAGAGGTAGAAAAACAAAACAAAACAAAAACAGTGGTTTCCAGGGGAAAGAGAGGGATGAATAACTAGAGCACAGGGGATGCTTAGGGCAGTGAAAGCACGTGTATGATATTTTAATAGTGAATACTTGTCATTGTAAATTTGTCCAAGCCCGAATGTGAACTTTAATGCAAACTATAAGATGTATCATGTAGGTTCACTAATTGTAATAAATGCACCACTATGGTGGAGGATGTTTATTATGGGGGAGGCTATGCATGTGTCAGGGGCAGGAAATATATGGGAAATCTATACCTTCTGCTCAGTTTTGCTGTGAATTTTAAACTGCTCTAAAAAATGATGTGTGTCTATGTGTGTGTGTATATATATATGCATGTACATGTTTGTGTGTATGCATAGCTGATCATAAGAAACAATACCTAGTTTCACTTATTTAAAAAGTCAAACATGCAAAACTAAATAATATACGGTCTGTAATGACAAGCAATGGAATGATTAACAGGAAGTTAGGGATAGTGTTTACCTCTTGTGGAAAGAGTGAGTGGCATTGAAGAATGGCAATGGGAGTTTCTAAGATACTGGAAATATTCTATTTCATAACCTGAAAGTAGGACACATATGCTCATTTTATATTCTTCTTAAGCTGTACATACATACTTTTATATTTATGATCAATTTCATTAAGTAATAAGACAACTATATATATGCATTTGTAAATAAGTGAGATTAACAAATTTTTAGATACATGTAACTTATCAAAATTGACTCAAATATAGGAAATCTGGATGGAAATCATACCATTAAAGTAATTGAGTTGATAATAATTCTACAAAGAAAATATGATGCCCAGATGATGTAACGAGTAGTTCCAATGTTACACTAATTATCTGCAACGGGAGAAAAAGAGGCCATTCTTTAATTCATATGAGACTAGGATAACCTTACTATGGTGTACCTCATCCATGCACATGGAGACAAATATTGTAAACAAAATGCTAGGAAGTATACCAGCAATGTATAAAAACCATGAACAAGCTCGGTTAGTAATGCAAATTTAGTTTGATGTTACAAAATCTACTGAAGTTATCTCCTTATCAACAAATTAAAGACAAAAATTATATGATAGACTCAAAAGGCCTATAAAATTATTTTACAAAAATTAAATTATTCATGATATTTCCACCTATGAATAAAGGGTAACTTCCTTAACCTGATAAAAGAAGTCAACAAATAACCTACAGCACCTATCATATCGTGTGGCTAAAAATATTGAAATCACTCCTTTTAAAATCAAGAAAAAGACAAGAGTACCATTGTCACTAAACTGCTTCCAAAGCTTATATGGAAGAGAAAAGGGCCCAGTATAACTAAGACAATCCCATAGAAGAATAAAGTGTGCAAAGGTGGGAGGTGGAGCTTATGTGAGTCTATCATGTACCAGATTTACTGTGAAGTTATAATTATGACAGCATCAATTGCTATTGTGAAAGTCTATGCTTGTGTAAAATCTTGATTTATGCCCTAGCTAACATTACAGAATAGTCAGAAAGGGTCTATATAATCCATTGTATGAGCAATTGGTGTCCATATGGGAAAATATCAGAATGGGTCTCTATCCCCAAAATGGATCCCTATCACACAAAGGCCAGATCTAAATGGACAAATGACTTAAATTTGAGATGCAAATATTTAAAAATCTTTTAGAAGAAAATATAGGAGGGTACCTTATTACGTGCCACACCTACTATGTGTACTTTGTACAATGCAAGTGTTGTATATGAGTATAGTATGTAACTGTAGGTGCCTCTAAACAGTATATACATGCTTGCTACTTTATAGACATGAAGCACTGGGAAAGGTATCATGAGAGAAAACCCTAGGTCATTCTGGTTTCCAGACTTCTGTTCCTGCCCACCCCTGATTCCAGCACTCCCTTTCCCATTCTCCTATCCAGATCCTCTGTTCCAAGCATAGCCACTTACAGCAGCTCAAGCCTGCAGCATCCACAGAGAAGCACTCTTCCCGCTACTGCTGAGCTGTCATGTCCCCTTTCTTTTCTTTCTGAAAAACAGTTTTCTCTGCCTGTGACTCCTCATGTTTCACTCTCTCTAAAGCACACAGAAGCCCGGTTCCCTCCTCTGCTTTATCAAACCTGTTGCTGTGAGTTCCACCAGTGACCCTGCATGACAGATTCGGAGGTTTGCTCCCTTTTGCATAGCGTAAAATGTTTACCTCGTGACATACTTGATAAATACAACTTTATAATTGCTAAGCTATCTATATAGTCTATAACTGTTTTAAAAATTATTTATAGGCTGGGCAAGGTGGTTCACTCCTGTAATCCCAGCACTTTGGGACGCCAAGAGGGGAGGATCACAAGGTCAGGAGATCGAGACCATCATGGACAACATGGTGAAACTCCATCTATACTAAAAATACAAAAATTAGCTGGGTGAGGCAGCACACACCTGTAATCCCAGCTACTCGGGAGGCTGAGGCAGGAGAATTGCTTGAACCTAGGAGGCAGAGATTGCAGTGAGCCGAGATCGTGCCACTGCAGTCCAGCTTGATGACAGAGCAAGACTCCGTCCTTATCCCCCCCAAAAATACAAAGACAATGTCAGTTATGCCACGCATAGATCATTTTTATTCCATAAAACTGCTCTCCATATGTGTAATATGTTTCCAATTCACACATAGTTTTGATCAAAGATTAATCCATTGCATAGATATTTTTCTTAGTAATTAATAAAACTTGATTGGATTTCTCTAGCCAGATAAAACACTTTATGCTAAGTGAATCAATCAAAGCTCTTTGTTGGAGTGAGATCTGAAAGCTTTCGCTCAAGCCGGCTGCCTCAGCTTCACGGCACCAGATAATGGAGGGAGAAGTGGAGGCTGACATGCAGCAAGAATTACCGTGTGTGTGTTGGAGAGATTTTTGTTTAATTCATTTACGAGACACTCGTGCCGCACTGCTACATGCCAAACAGCTGTTCTTGGTACTTTGTAAAAATTAATCATCTCAAAGTTGAAAAGTTAATTATTGTAATGTGTCTTCAGTACTGCCAATCTCTGGGATTTGGAGCCAAAAAAAAAAGCATTACCATCATGATTGAGAAATGGAGTTACTGGCAGTCATGGAGAAAACCACGATTCTGCACTTGGACACAGAATTATTCCTGACAAGATCCTGGCTCCTAACTCTTCCTTCAAAACCAAGTCTGCAGCTCCCACAGGAAAGTGCCGCTCCTTTCACCCCAAGTGTGCTCCAGTTGTTCCTTCTCCTTCTTCTCCTTCCTACCAGCTCTGTAAGGTCTCCTTCTCCTTCCTACCAGCTCTGTAATGTCTCCATCACAATACTAAGGCCAGGGTCAATGGCACCTCTTTTTAGAAACTTTCTGAGAGCCCTGGAAAGTAATCTCTTCTTGTTCTTATTCCATGATTTCCAGTACCTTCTTTAAATCACTGATGATCATATGTGTTGTTGAGTTGTCTCCGTGTGCATCTGACCTTTCTCCCAGATGGTGAGTTCTGGAAGCCAGGAAGCATTTTAGAAAAGTAATAGTTTTTAGTAATTTAGTTCACCTCTGTGCACACTTCTCATATGTTGGGGCTGCCCAGTGAGTACTTGCTGAGGGAAACTGGAGGGCGACTTGCAGGTCAGGTTCACTGAGCCTGAAAGTGAAGCAAATTAAGAGGGCAAAGTGCACAAAACTGGCTGAAATATATGACCACACTGGGGAAACAAACATCCCTGGCCTCTGTGGAGGCGGAACACAGTCGCTGAGGTTTGCCAATCAGCGGCACCCACCTGGCCAAAGCATGCTCAGCATCGGGCTTCGTTCTCCCATGGTGCTTCCGTGGCGAGGAAGAAAAGCTAGACGTACTAACATGGGCCAGCTGGAAACCACAGCTACATTTCTAGTATTGCTTTTCAGCTGGAATCCCGAAAGAATTCTGAGGTCATATAGAATGTGGCATTGTCAGATGGGGCCTGGGTGGGCCTGGTGTTAGAGGATCTGCCCAAGGTCACGGTCTGTGGTTGGGAGGGGAGGGTGTGATTCTCCATCCCCTTATCTCTTTGTGCCATACTTTTTGCCCTGTACACACATGATCATCCTCAACATCTTAAATAGGTTCTCCCACATAGCTAAAATTGTTATTGGGCATCTAAACTATGCCTAACTTAGCTGAATATTTGGCCTTTGCCTTTAAAGGATCTATAAGCTATTGGGATGAGACCAGGGAGAAAAAGGAAGACCATAGATAACTCAAGCATAATCTGCCATCCAATAATTTCATGACATGCTTATGCTTGGAATAAAGTTGGCTGTTATCAGGAAACTGTCCCACCATCTGTTTGCATTTACAGACCTCCATTGCTATGGCCTCCATTGTAATGTGCTGTCATTGGGTTTGAAAAAACTCTACATGTTGATTTTGATGGCAATAAAAGAGTCAACTGTGCAAGCTGGAGCAAGGTGCTCACCAAAGCTGGGCCTTTCCCCTCCCTCAGGAACTGGCAGCAAGAGCAAGAGTTAGCTTCCTGAATGTTTGCATTTCAAACAGGCAGCTCTCAGGTCTTTGAGGAGACAATTCTGGGTGTAGATTTACACTTCAAAGGTGGAGAAAACATTTATAATTGCAAGCTTTCTAAGGTTCTAAGAGGGGATTCAGGGCTCTACCTGCCCATCACCAGGTTTTGCCTGAAACAAACAGTAAATTCTCCTTGCAAGTGAGCTTTTTCAGGCAGTCATTTTAAGGAGGGCTGGGGTCATCCAAGGGACACCCTTGTGCTGCTGGAAGCCTTGCTAGAGTTTGGTCCTGTCTTTGGACAGGGCTTTGCAAGGAGTAGTTACGTGCTGCGAGGCCTGCCTTCTCCTGACCAAAGCTCACATATGCCCATTTCTTTCTTTCTTTCTTTCTTTTTAATATTTAAAATCTTTATGTGTCTCTTAACACCTCTTGGAAATGTCCATCCCTTTCGAACTATGTTCCAGTAAACAAAACAAAGTGTGGCCCGGCAGCTCTGGGGAGTCTGTGGTTGAAGGGGAGATGAGCACACAAATGTTGAGAGTTTGAGAACCCCTGGCCTTGATCTTTATAATAGTTGGTCAAGTGGTCATCAGTGAAATCCACAGCGATTCCCTGAGAGCGTACATCTTTGGCATGACAGTTGTTGTAATCTGAAGGAGAAAGTAGAAATTTACATATGAGTACTGAGGAAGATTGAGACAAAGTCTTTCTCTGTCACCCAGGCTGGAGTGCAGTGGGGCCATCTCGGCTCACAGCAACCTCCGCGATTCTCCTGCCTCAGCCTCCCGAGTCACTGGGATTACAGGCGCCTGCCACCACGTCCAGCTAGTTATTTTTTTCTTTAAAAAGTACAAGTAGCATTTTACTTTTACTTTTGCAAAAAGTAAAGAAATGGTGTTTTGTTGCTAAAATTAAACTGAAATAAATTTTGGATTGTAGAATATTCATTAAAAACTCAAGTTTCAATTTAGTTAAAATCCATCTAGTGCTGTAAGTGTGGCTGTTGGCAGATCTCTTTTTATTTATTAATTTTATTTATTAATAATATATTATTAATAACTAATTTTTAAATTATTATTCATGAGCCCTTTCCCGTGACAGCGTCTTGGAAATTTCTTTCTCTCCCATTAACCTAGTATTGTCTCTCAGGCATTCTTATTAAAGTTCTTCCTCTCATTATTCCCTTCTTCACCATCATTCCTAGGTTAGTTACAGAGAACTAATTTAATGACCCATTTACTCTGAAGGCAGGCACTAGAAGTGAACTTGTTTCTGAGGCCTTAAGGGATCTCACCTCCTTAAATCTCTGTTTTCCTACTCCTACTTTAGATATTATTGAGACATTATGTTTTCTTTCTCTACCTTCAGATAGTTTACCTTCATTATCAACAGGTCCAGATCTGCCTAAGCCCTCGGACAAGCCTGCAAACAATCATCGAATCAATATTTGACTAATACCTTGCAGATGATCCCAGGCACCACTGTCTTAACCTGTGAAAACCGCAAATTCTTGGCACAAACAGCTTCTTCTGCACGCCCCTCCTCCTCATGCATACACTAAGAGACTTGGCCAAATTCCAGCACAGCCTCTATCAGCTCAGAGCCATGCCCCTAGGAAGCCCCAGCCCCCTCTGAAGCACCTGCCTGGGAACATTCAATTCTGCCCAAAGAATTTACTGTTTGTCCCACCCAAAACCTGACTATAGGCCCCTGACCTCCCATTTCTAAGAGCCTTAGCTTTAGAAAACCGGCAATGACCGGGCATGGTGGCTCACGCCTGTTATCCCAGCACTTTTGGAGGCCGAGGAGGGTGGATCACGAGGTCAAGAGATCGAGATCATTTTGGCCAACATGGTGAAACCCTGTCTCTACTAAAAATATAAAAATTATCTGGGCATGGTGGCAAACACATGTAGTCCCAGCTACTCGGGAGGCTGAGGCAGGAGAATCGCTTGAACCCAGGAGGCAGAGGTTGCGGTGAGCAGAGATCGCACCATTGCACTCCAGCCTGGCAAAAGGGTGAGATTCCATCTGGAAAAAAAAAAAGAAAAGAAAACCTGCAGTTATAAACCTTTTATCTGACCCTTTAAATCTCCTACAATATGGAAATGTCTTTCTGAAAGACTTGGGAGCCAACTCTTTGAACTATAATGGTCAAGAAGGATACAGGATTGTCTCCTGGTCTCTGTCTCTGCGTAAGAGCCTAACTTTGATAAGCACTATTAACAAACGCAGATGGCCTCATCACATTGACCACCCTCTCCCCAAACATCAGTCCATGCTTTTCCTTTAGCACACTCCAACATTCGCAAAGCCTCTTGGCTTTTGTTTCAGTGGAATTGAGGCTTTCTAACGTACTATAAATTGATGTGTCTACTCATTGATTAGAAGACAGAAATTAATCACTGAATTTCATTATCAAGCTGACTTTCAGGATTAAAAGCAGCCTGTGGTTACAGCTGCAACATCGCTCTGTTTCTAAGAAAAACAGGAGAGGTTTGTCTTTGGCTCCTTTGGACCTCACTGATTAATAGAAAAGAGAGAACTGATCAGGTTGGGATGATACAGCACAACTCAGTTTCAAGTTCCAGGCAAAGAAAGCAATGGTTATTTTTCACTCCAGAAAGGGAATCATTCTTTGGGGCCACAAAAGAGAAGAGGTGAAGAATAAGCAGGGACATCTAGAAGGTGGCTGAGTGTGCTCTATCGGGTTAAATTAAGCTATTTTGTTGCTGCTGTTGTTGTTGCTGTTCAAATAGCTTCCCCACACAGTACATTTCATATCTAAAGTGCTGTTCCCTCTCCCATCATTTTATTACGTATGCAATATCTGGCTGAGAACCTCTTTCTTGCCCTCCTTCTTACTGGTTAAGAACACAGACAGTCCTCTCTTTGCACAGCAGTGCAGGGCCAAAAAAAATCACTATGTAAACTGAAGATCTCTGTAAATTGACCTAAATAATCCACGTGAAAAATTGACTGTTCTGTGTCATTTAAAAATTTTGGTCAAAACATTAAAAATCTCTTACTGTTGGTTATAAATGTGTAAGGAAATCAAACATAGTGAAATTAGTACTTTTTTTTTTTTTGAGATGGAATCTCGCTCTGTCGCCCAGGCTGGAGTGCAGTGGCATGATCTTGGCTCACTGCAAGCTCCGCCTCCCGGGTTCAAGCGATTCTCCTGCCTCAGCCTCCTGAGTAGCTGGGACTACAGGCACCCACCACCATGACTGGCTAATTTTTTGTATTTTTAGTAGAGACAGGGTTTCACCGTGTTAGCCAGGATGGTCTTGATCTGACCTCGTGATCCACCCGTCTCACCCTCCCAATGTGCTGGGATTACAGGAGTGAGCCACCGCGCCTGGCCAGTACTTAGTTTTTACACTGTAATTTAAAACATTAAACAATAGCCAATTAAAGTGTTTTATTTCTTTATAGAAGTGTATCAAGCCCAGTTTGAATAGTGCTTGCCTCCTTCTTGTCGTATAGCTTATGATAAGGAGCCAGCAGTGTTTCTGTGCCTTGGTGAATTGTCGTGCTGTTTTCGGAACAGCATCTAACATTGTCAGTGTCATGAAATATCTACAAGACTTCCTTTAATATGAAGTTTGTGGCTGTCTTTGCTGGCATCACTTCCTCTGGGGCTTCTTCATCTTTTTCATCACAATTACGTTCCTCATTTATGTCAAAACACTGCGTTGCGCCGAGTTCCCCTTCTGTATTTCCTGTGGTGAGCCAATTTTATTATTCCATTTACATTGTATTTGAATTCCACTTCCAGTGTTATCACATTTTTTATTTTTTTGCTGCACATCAATGGTTGTTGACCAATGTTTTCTTCTGATTATTCATATTTATAAATGTCACATGGGCTTCTCACTGGGAGACAAGGAATCGAGATGATTGCAGACTTTGCTGGCTGTGTGCGAACTAGCAGATGCGCAGTGATCAGTCACTGACAGGCTTTGAAAGAAGTGAATTGTGTCCCCCCAAAAAAGATATGTTTGAAATCCTAATGCCCAATATCTCAAAACAATATGAGCTTATTTGGAAACAGCATATTTACAGAGGTTCTCAAGTTAAAATGAGGTCATTAGGGTGGGCCCTAATCCAACAGACTAACTGGTGTCTTACAGTAAAGGAGAATTTGGATACAGCTCCAGACACACACAGAAAAAAGATGATGTGAAGACACACAGAGAAAACAGAGTGACCTATCTGTAGATCAGAAAACACCAAGGATGACTGGCAAACCCAAACAGGAAGGAGAGCGGAAGAAGGATTCTCCCCTAGAGCCAGCAGAGAGCATGAACCTACCAACACATTGAGTTTTGACTTCCAGCCTCCAGAACTAGGAGCCAATACATTTCTGTTGTTTTAGGCGACAGGGTTTTTCGTACTTTGTTGCAGCA